AGCTTAGTGAGGCTATTTATATTTCCACTAATTTCTTTCAGTGCATAAATCCTGATTTTGATCATAGCAAAGTTAATAGAAATTGTGACCTTGTTTGCAAGAGAAGCAGAACCCGGTGTAGGTTTTTTGCAGTCCTTTCAAAGTCAAGTTATTCTCTCTGTGCCTGAGAAGCTAAATGCAGCACACACTTTTCTGAAGCTACAGCCTCTGTAGCACATGTGACAGGTGTGTCAGGGAGCTGCAGAGATGCTTCAGGTGTCCAAAACCAGCCACTCCTGCTTGGCCTAGCACAACACTTCCTTCCTGGGGATGTGTTGTGGGTGAAGACATTTCACATTGTATATTATTTTCCTTTTTTTAATCATTCTCCTTAAGTGTGATAAGAGTAATATTGATTTTTCTCATTTGGAAGCATAGAGGATTTTTGCAGTCTTGGAGAAAAGGGTTTTTTGAAGAAATTTTTTCTTTGCTTCAATAGGAGAGCCTAGAATGAAAGACTTGGGAATGTCTTAGGTGCTCTGGAATCTGTTCTTCCCTAGTGTGCAGGATCAGTGCTGGAGGTGAGCGTGAATAATGAAAAGGAAAATACTACTCTGACACTAGTGACCTGGCTACAGTAGGAATCTTGGCATTCAGGTTCCAGGAGCTGAAGTTAGAAAGCAAGAATTCAAAAAGTAGTTCAGTTCTTCCAAGTGTTATGAGGAAGAACATTAAGAACTTGAACTGCTTGAAAACTTAGAGCCAGGAAGGCTCTAAGAGAACAAAGGTCTTTTTTAATTAATAGTGGCTGATTGCTAAGCATTTTTCTGACCTAGAAATTGCTGCTCATTTATTGCAGGTGGATGCAGCAGAAGAGTCAAAGGTAACTTGGCCAGTGCCACCGATGACATGTGTTTGAAAAGCAAATAAACCCCTAACTTCAGTGGAGCAGGAATAAAAGCAATTTTTTGTAATATGCCATATCTGTTCAGTCAGCCATTCCTCTCAATAAAGGGGAAATGCTCATCTCAGAGGATGGGTGAGAGCTCTTTTATGACAGCAGTGCTAGTTAATATTTTATAGTAGAGCTACTGGTGCAATTTTACTTGTATTAGAAGATGTGCTGAAAAGACAGAGAAGCATAAGTTAACCTTTAATGGAAGGAAAGATTGCAAATGCTGATCAGGAGTAATGTCAAAGGGTACTCAGAAAGTGCTGCCAGACCCTGAGTTTCTCAGCTTTTGCCTAGTAAAGCAGGATTTCCACAGGGATAACAGAAACTTCAGCTGGCAAAAAATCTGATGTAATTTGCCTGGACTCGATAAACTCAGCTTTCACCCCATTGCTGCAGGAAAGGTGAGGTGCTCAGAGGATGTGAGTGCAGGGACAGGGTTAACCCATCCCACCAACAGCAGTTTGCTCACCTGCCCTTGGGGGGTTTGTTTGCTGCTGTGGGTTAGTTGCTGTACATTACCAAAGATTCCTCACAGTCTTTAAAAAATAATTTATGAAACATTTTCCCTTTGTTTTGTGTGTCATGTTATCATTGCCTCGTGCATTTTCTGCATTGCTTTAGGTGTTGTCTTTGCCTCTCAGCCTTTGGGTTATTCTGTTTGTCTTGAGTTCTGTCACCTTTCCATGGGACTAAATCCTCCTTAACATCATTACCATCTGTCCTGGTTGTCTTGTCTGCTGGAGATATGACTGTTCTTGATGCAGGAGGAGAGGGACACACATCTGCCATCTGCAGAGTTTGACTAGGAACACTATTCAGTGTCTGTGAAACAGGTGAGGCTGATGCAGGAAGAGGGACAGGTGGAATGTCAAGGGATTGGATTCTCAGGCTATTTAATGTCTCCTTTTGATTGGTTTTTGCATTTTGTAAGATTCAAATCATGGTTACTGAGGTTCTCATGATCACTTTAAGAACATTCCTCCCTAGTTTACATTTTTAAGGCAGTTTACCCAGAATATCTATAGTAAAAAAAAAAAAACTGCATTGAAAATATAATTGAAACAAACTGTTGAGAGCAACTGCACTGCCTGAGAATCTAAAATTATCAGAGCATTTCAAGCTCTCATGTACTGTTTTAATTTAGAAGAGATTAGAGTTGTTAGCCTGAATATTATACAACAGTTCAGAACTGTTCTCATCTAGGAAATAAAAATGCACATATGTTTGCAGGCAATTTTTTTCCTTGTGTTATAGTCAGTGATTATTTTGTATGGATAGTCTTGGTCAAAAGGATTTTGGCAGGTTAAAATATCACAACGTAGGAAAATGTGAAGGTGAAGTATTTTGGGCCTCTAGCTGATCAGCCTGGCACTAGATGTTGGCTCTGGATTCTGTGTGTTGTGCTGCACACTAAGCTGATTAAAGGCATCAGTGCCTGTGATCTCTGGCTCAGCTCAGCACAGACTCACAGTGGGGCACAGCACACCCAGTAAGATTGGTGAGCAGCACCCCAGAGCAACTGGTGTTTGTGGGGCTTGGCATGGCTCAACCCCAGCAGCCACCAAACCCCAGACACTCCCTGCCCCACGGCAGCACCGGGAGAATGGGAATCACGGGCGGAGATACAGTTTAATAGGGAAAGCAGAAGCTGCACACACAACTAAAGCAAACCAAGGAATTCATTCAGTGCTTCCCACAGACAGGAGGTGTTCAGCACCTCCAGGAGAGCAGGGCCCTGACACACTGAATGGTTCCTTGGGAGGACAAATTCCAAACATCCTCCCCTTCCTCCTCCTCCCCCCACTCCACACCCTGAGCATGATGTCCCATGGTGTGGAATATCCCTTTGGGCAGGTTGGTCACCTGTCCCAGCTGTGTCTCCTCCCAGTCTCCATCACCCCCAACTCCCTTGCCATGTGGCAGTACAGAACACAGTAAAGGCCTTGGCTCTGGGTGAGCTCTGCTCAGTAACAACAAAAACCTCTCTGCACTATGAACCCTGTGCCCTGCACAAATCCCAGACACAGCCCCACACTGGGCACTGGGAAGAGTTAACTCCACTTCAGCCCAAACCAGCACCAAGCTGCTGCTGCTTTCTGCAGTGGTTGGCAATGCCCCCTGGTCTTGGAGACCAGAGTTGTCTCCTCAGAGATGCCACTGAAGCAATTTGCACTGTTTGTGTGGGATGGCAGAGCACAGTCAGAGGGGCAGGGCTTTCTTTGCTGAGCTGAGGAGGGTTTTGCTGAATTCTTTTGGAGGAGCAGA